AGGCGGCCGGCGGGGTGTCCCTAGATAGGGGCCCGCGTGGGGGACGGCCCTGGCCTGAGACGCCCGTGGGCTCGGGATCAGACCGCCGGCCTGAGCTCGTACGGCTGCGCTGGCAGAGATGCCTTGTCGTGTCGCGATGCCTCTGCCTCCTCTGCCTTCGCAATGATGCGGCTAGAAATCTGGTGCTGCTCCGTTTGGAGGATGAAATGCCTGCCTCGTTGTATTGTCCTAACCAGAGGCGTGAAACGGGCTTTTTATTCTCTTAAAAGTGTGGGGAAGGCGGACAGTATTCCTACCGTTTTTTGTTTGTTTTTAAATTGTTTAGGAATGAGGTGGTTGAAGCTACGGCTTTGGTGGCATGTACGTTTGAAATCGTCTCCTACCCAGTTTCAAATCACATCATAGTGTCTTTAAAACCACTTGAAGCATAAGCCTCTTCTGAAGTGTTATACTGTAAAACTCACCAGTTCAGATGGTGCTGAGCAAAGTAGTTCAGATAGCTAGAGGTATGGAGGATTCTTGGTGCATCATTTAACCAGACATGATAAAATAGTGTCCCTACTCATTGGTCAGACTTCTAAGAGTCTGTAAAACATGCGATTCTTGGATGCAAGCTGCTCTCTGATTGGAAGAAGTCATTTTAAAGTAGTCCAGAGCTTAGATTAAACTTTGGGCATGCTTACTCCTCTGCTTGATCAGCTAGTAAGTGCGTCCATAAGTCACATTGACTTGTTACGATCAGAGTAGCACTTTGCTATTTCGTACACTTTAAGAACTTGCCTCAGATATTGCGCTTGTGAGGGAGTCTGTCCTAAGATGCTCTAATCTGTATATATGCCACTTTAAATAACATGCGTGACGTTAAGGTCTCTATCGTTGCCCTGTTAGTAGGGAAGCTTTTTGAAGCTCTTCAGCAGAGCTGATAGACAAATGTTCAATTAATTCTCTTCTACCTGCAGTGTGAAAAAAACAGAGATGTCAAAAAGAGAAGGTCAAATGAGGCAGATATCCCTGATCATCTTCGTCAAGAAGCAGAAGCATGTTATCAGCTTAGGCTACCTGAAGACTTCTACCAATTTTGGAAGTTTTGTGAGGAGCTAGATTCTGAGAAACCAAGCGGTGGGTTTTTAGTTCTTGTGTGTGAGTTAGGGTGGGGGGGAGGCAGAGGGTAGGGAAGGAGGTTGACCTGTTTTAACTCTCACTCTCAAAAATAGCCTGAAGTTAGGCAAACAGGAAGTTAAGATTCTTTCTATTGCTACTTTAGTTTTCATTTGAGGTGCAGTCGTCTTACATGAGTGTGAACAAGAATTCTGGAGTTATTCATGGAGATGTTAATCCACTTCAAGCTTTCTGAAATACAGGGTAGGGTTTTTCTGTTTGGTTTGTTTTGATTCATGTAATGCAAAGGGACTAAATGTCCTTTAAATATGCCCTTTTTACAAGCATATTCGAAATGGTCATAATAGAATTAAAGCTCAGTCATATCAACCCAAGCTTCAACTTTTCAAAAAACTTACTTGGTCAGTGCATTACGTAAGGTGTCCCTGAATGTTGAAGAAATTACTGTTTCAAAGTAGTTTCTTTTCATATGAAAAGCTTACCCACCTAACCCTTGAATGAAAATTATCTGAATAAAAAACTATCTCAGCTTTCCTTTTCTACTAAACAGAAGCTTCCATACTTCTAAGCAGCCAAACATGCTGATACCTGACTGACGCAGACATGAAAGTTAGTATCTCCTGCAGCAAGAATTTCATGGTTTAGATATGCACTTACCAAAAAGTGAAACGGTTCATGCTTTGCTTTTCAGATGTACTTGTGTCAAGTGTTGGACTTAGACTGGTTGGACCATATGATATTCTTGCTGGGAAACACAAAAAAGCAAAATCAACAGATCTGGATTTCAATCTTCACTGGAGATTTTTCTATGATCCCCCAGAATTCCAGACTATAATTGTTGGTGATGGCAAAACCCAGTATCACATGGGATATTTCAGGTATTTTAATTAAAACAGGCTCTTGCTGTAATGTAATTGTATGCAAATGTTCTCCTTCTTGTTTCTGATGAGATAGTGCGCAGCTCTCAAATCCTATCATCCAGTGAGAGAATCTTTCCCTTCTGTAATGCGATATTAATACATGGATTGGTATCTTCAATAAAAGACAGTCAAAGGCATTGAAGACACTGCAGCTGAAGGCTAGCTTTAGATTATTAACCTCCCACCCCCAAGCATCTTAACTTAGTCATCTTTAACTCTTGCCATAATGCTTTGAATAAAAAGTCAAGCCTTACGAAATAAAGGGAACCTCTATTCTCTCTGCCTGCGTTGATAAAAGCTCCTTTCAAAACCATGCTATAAGGTTCTAGTGCTTTAGCTCTAGGGATTCTTTTGTTGGTTTTGTGAAGAGGGCAGTGTGTGAGGCAGCAAATTAGGTTCACTTTGAGAGAGGAGAAGTGGGCACAACCTGACTTTTGTATGTACTTTTCCATAAATAGGGATGTGCCGGATGAACTTCCAGTGTGGGTTGGTGCAAACGAAGCTAAGAAGAGCTGTCTGATTTCACAAGTTGGTGATAATGTATTTGCTGCAGTCAAGTAAGGTTCATATTTACTCTTATTTATAAAAAGTAGTATAGAAGAGAAGCTATTGATCAGTAGATGTGACGTGGCATAATCCAACTATCTTCCTCTGCTTCTTGAGAAAGTCTTATTTATTTCCTACTACTGCTAGCAAGCTTTAAGGTACTCTGTAAAAGCTTCTATAGGCTTCTTGAAAGCGCTTTCCCTTTAAAAGTAAAATAGACAAGTGTTAATTATCTGATTCTTTACTTCTGTTGAAAAGACTAGAAGAGATAGTCTCTTGATATAAAATGCCCACCTGGTGTTTTGAGATACTTCCCATGTTCCCACAGCACAGAACACAAAAGCATTAACAGAAATAGTAAGTACCACCATGTTTGTCTTTTACAGTTGGCATAACTATAGAAAAGGCATCTCAAACAGTGGTGAAGGAAATCGAACATCTTACTAAATGAGTAACATCTAGCTCTTGTTCTTGCCTATGTATGAATACATTATTTTTATACATAATTATTAATCATGAGAAGTACCATTGCTGAACTGGAACAGGGTAACATTTATGCAGATATGTAACTCAGGATCCATGAATCCTTGCATGCTCCTGGGTAATCAAGATACTCAACATAAGTGTGGATTCTCTTATTTCATGATCTGTCAGTGAAAAACTGAAAGCTTTCTAAGGACAGATGTGGGTTGGTAAGAAAAAGCATACTGAAGAAACAGTCCTGCAAAGCACCCTTGTCTGGTGCAGAATAACCAGTGATGTTTGTTTTGAAAACATTGTGATGAAACAGTTAATATGTATGACGTGTGGATTAGATGACAAATAGTGAATGAGGCACTGAAGCAGCAAATTAAATTAACTCAGAAAAAATGTACAGCTAGTGAGTTCCTGAGACTCTTCAGCACCTGCAGATTGCATAAACTATTGTAATGCAAACACAGATAGGAAATGTTAGAATACTGTCTGTGCCAATTGTGGAGGTGGGGACAGAGAAAGAGACTTGAATACTTAAGTAGTCTATGTGTATAAATAAACCTATGACTGCTAATCTTCATTATAAGATTTGGAGGTTTAGTGATTAGAAGGCTGTATTTTTGTTTGTTTTATAGTAAGCTCTTTTAAGACATGTTTCTTCTGTTTACAGATTATTTTTGTCAAAAAAACTTAAGGAAGTGACCGACAAAAAGAAGAATGCTATTTTGAAAGACATAGATGAAAAACTAACGAGAAGAGCAAAAGAATTGGGTTATTCTCTTGAACAGAAAACCATGAAGATGAAACAGAGAGATAAGAAAGTATGACTCTTGATCCACTACAAAGAATTAAATTCTGTTAAACTTTTTGCATTGACTTAGCTGCTTGTTTGTTTGTTTTTCCCCCCCCTTTATTCTGCAAAGAAGCCTGCATTTAAGAATGTCCAGAGCTAATCAGCTCTCTAGCTAAAACTCCAGGAGAGAAAATACTAATATGCTTGTTCCAAATAATAGGATTAAATCAAAACTTCTAACTATTGCATGCCATAGCTTGGCAAGTAAGGCATTCAATTAAAAAAGCAGGGCAAACACTTCAGAAGTGTGACGGTAGCAAATGAGAAACATGGACAGAACTGCTTTATAATGAAGATTCATGTAAACAGTTGGGTTGGATCTATTGGAAATGCTAAGGATGATAAGAATCAGTAATAGTGTTTTTCTGCCTGTGTATCAAGAAGAGATTATGGCACTGGGTGATTAAACAAATGTAGCACAGTGCTACGCAAGTGACTGTAGTGATTTCTACAAATCAGAATTTCACTGCAGTGGAGTTTCCAGTTATTTTAAGCTTCAGTGCTTAAACATCTTTGCAAGAATAACTGCTATATACCTTAAAATGAAACTGGTGTCCTTGAACCTGGACACTGTACTTAGTTTGACCACCAGCAGTCACCTGCTAATGTTGTTTAGTCATATGTATATAGGTCATATACTGAGAGTGCTGGATTCAGTTTTCTGGTTCTTTGTTTAGGTGGTGACCAAAACGTTTCATGGAGCAGGCCTAGTTGTTCCTGTAGACAAAAATGATGTTGGATACAGAGAACTTCCTGAAACAAATGGTAAAGGCCTTGTTTACTATATTCTTCTGCTTTCTTTAAGTAAACAATCTGCAGTCACATGTCTACTCTGGCAAAAAACAAACTGCGTTTGTATTTCCTACTTGAAAAATATCAGCAGTGTAGTGAAGAGCAGAAATCTGTATCATCACACTTGACTCTAAGTATATATGTATTTTTTTTTAAATGAACTGGTTGAGAATCAGTGAAAACCACTAAATCTGAAATAATACTTCCTAAAGTAGTAGTTGAGACTGCTCTCTCTTCTGTATTGGCACAAGTATTTATGCAGCCATGTGTTAAGTAGATCCAAAGAACTGATCTATGTTCAGGGATTTGTGGGTTTGTTTATTATTTTCCCCCTCTTTTCCTGGCGTTCTAACCTGAATTGGCTCCTTGCTGAAGTTTTGCCACACAAATGCTTGTCCGTATGCAGGGAATTGAGATGGATGGGCATGGTGTAGCAACGAGTCGCAAAGGAAAGGGAGAAGCAATAATTCGGGCTGTGTCCTCTTAGTCTTCACGTAAGCGTGGCACATGCGGTATGCCACAAGCATGGCACCAAAAACGTCAGTGCAGCATTAAATTTCTTTCATGTACGCATTTAAATACTGCTTTTATTGTTGCAGCTAACCTTAAAAAAATTTGTAAAGCCATCGTTGATGCTCCTGCTGATGATCAGAGACTGAAAGCTTTTGCACCCATTCAAGAAATGCTCACTTTTGTCCAGTTTGCTAATGATGAATGTGACTACGGAATGGGATATGAGCTGGGTATGGACCTGTTTTGCTATGGATCACACGTGAGTACTATGACAATCATACTTCATAAATATGCATTATTTTATGCATGGACTAGGAGCTGTTCTGCATCTTGGAACTTTACTCCCAACTCATTAAATCTGTCGTTACTAGGGATTCTCCTCCGATGCAAGACTACAAGCGTATTCTTAATTTGTGGAAACTATTAATAACTTACTCATGACACTATTCTGTATTTAAATTCCTTATATGAAAGCATAATCCTGTAGTCCAGAAGCATTTAAATAGCATTTAGCATTTGTGATTTGGTATGCATAAGACAATGAGTCATAACTAGTTTCCTAAAGAGGCAGAGCTTTTAATCTAGATAGATAAACTGAATATCTGTAGCCTCCCATCCACAATTACTTGCACTGGCACAAGCACTCATGTTTAACCGGATCGAAAAACTGACCCATCCCTGAAACCACCCTGGAAGGGACAGTTGAACTTAGATCAGTTGCTTGTGGATACTTCCTGTATGGTGCAAAAAAAGACTTCCCACTAGCTAACTGCATTTTTAAATGCCTAAATTTCTTTAACTGTTATTCCATTTTAACGAAGAATATCATAAGTAAGCTGATTGACTTAATAGCATTTAATCACATGTAAAGATTCCATGGCCCTGTCACTGAAAAGTGTCACATATAAAGTAAATCTAAGGCTAGGAAATGCATCTAAAATAGTAGCTTCGACATAAATGTAATATGGATAGCAGTGAAAACACCCATGAAAAAAAAAAGTTTCTCTTAGTAGAAATAGTATTGGCTAAGGGACTCTCTGAACTTTAGCTTCAAAAGCTACAAATCTTGCAACGCTAAATCTAGGCCCAGAAACCTTATACTAAATATTAAAATCATTATTCACTGAAGCAAAGAAAAATTCAGTGCTCTGCCTCTGCCCTGTTAAATTCCCCCACAGCATCTGAGAATCTGTGATGTATTTTTATCCTCTGATCTCGTCGTGCTCATTTAAGACCCTTGCTTATGTGACTATACTGTTTCAGCTGCTTATTTCCTCCATGTGTCTGGCAGGGCAGTGAAGGAACTAGTTATTTCAAATTGGCCAAGCAGGGAGAGACAAAAGCCCTTTCTTACTTCATGCTTACTGCAATGTGAGACTAGCCACTGACAAACTCTTGCAACAACAAATTACATCCTTAAAGTATTGTGACATGGCCGGATGTGTACCTTACATCTCAATTTTGAAATGGCTATGATTTTGCAGCTATAATTTTCTGAAAATAGAAACCTTCAATTTCTATTTTAACAAGCAGAAGGGGAAAACAATGGTTTTGCGCGTTAACAACACAATTTACCCAAGCAATGTGGTGATCAGCAAAAATGCAGGGACCATAAACTCACTATCTGTAGATACTGACTACCCTGGCTATCCTGTTGCTTACAGAGCCAGAATAAATGCTGTCATTCTAGCTATAACCCAAGAAATATAATGAGGATTAAGAGGTTAAGCCATTTTCTAAGAGAGGTATAGTGGGTTTACATGTACAATAAACATAACATGCTAAAAATGTTCTGATTTAAATACATTTAATATATTTTTACATACTTAGATGCTTACTTTCTCAGAATCTAGGAAGTACTATAGTAATCATCTCAAGCTGTGGAATGTGATGGGACACTGGACTTTAACTGCAGGCTCAACAACGGCATATCTTAGCCACAGCCATCTTCTGTATGGCTAAAGTTTTTTAAGAAAAAGTTTAAAAAAAAAAAAAAGACAAGAAACAAACTATCCCTTCTTCCTCCATTCCAGAAAAATACCGTACTACTAAACGTTCTTGTATGGGGTGAGAGGAGCACAGGTCGGGGAGGGGGAGGGGGGGAATACAGTTTGTCAGTACTTGATAGGAGAACCTAAGCTTGTGTCTCCTTTTTACCGGGCGCATAGACAGGTTAGGCCAGACTCCTATGCAGCTGAGCATGAGACTAGTGAATTGGTTCAAACAGTTAGGCATGGATTTTACTGTAACTGCCATTTGAAGTGTATTGCTTACATGCCGTAGTACACACGCTCCTATTATCCCCTGCAAATTGAGCAGCAGTTTAGAGAAGCCAGTCTTTCCTTACTGTGCCTACGCAAGTGTAGTGTAAGTGTGTACAGTTCTTTTGAGGTGTGGCAAAGAAAGCAATTTGAATCTGGTAAAGCTTAAGCGTTAGGCCACTTTCTCACTGTATAGATGAGGCCACTGCACAATTAAGGATTTTCTTTTTTTTTTTTTTTTATTTTTTCCCCCCCTTTCTCACCCTGTGCACAGTACTTTCACAAGACTGTGGGTCAGCTGCTGCCTCTTGCTTACAACCTGCTGAAGAGGAATCTCTTTGCAGAGATTATCCAGTCGCACTTAGCCAACCGGAGGGAAGACGACGTGGACCAGCTTGCACTGTGAGCCAGCAAACAAGGCTGAAGGGCAGGGGAAGGCTCAACACATTAACGTGGGTGTTCCTGCATTGTTGAGATGGGGTTTTCCTTGACTTTTGTTTTTGTGTTTTATATGGAAATGCATCCTGTGTGGTCAGTAAAGATTTTCTAAGTAATGAGGTGCCTCTCTGTGCTTGCTGTCTACAAGCTGCCATCTGTGCATGTGCCAGGGCCACAGCAGTGTGAGTCACAGGCTGTGCCTGCGGCACTGGCCTGCACACGGCAGTAGCAGGAGGTACGGGGGGCATTGCTGCCTTTTCACTGAGCTCTGCTTCACAGCTGTGGGCTGCCCGCACCAGCGGGGCTGAGGCCTGGCGATACCAAGAATACAGTGCCTGCCTCTGAAATAATTAAAAATCCAGTAGGACTAACACCAGCACCGTTAGAGTTAGCAGTAACAGTAGAACGTTCACTACGCTAGTTTTTCAGTGAAGCTTTAGCATCGTTGAGGAAAAGCAGTTTTAATACAGTCTGGGAACTTCTAAGCGGCTAGTTTCAGTCTTTGTTTATAAGTAAGTCAATCTGTTTCAGATCACTTTACTTACATATTCCATGTTTTTTATTCCTGAATTTGAAACTTTAGCACAGAAATACTCTCACATACGTTATCTAGGTTAGTTTATGTTCTGTACTGCTTCATAGTCCCCAGCCTTCAGGACAGCTTGACCAGGGTGGATGATTCTGCTCATTTCTGTAGTGACTTTCTGACCAGTGCAAAACAGGGGCGGTGCTGGGTAAGGTGCTATTATTTTGCACTTGCTGCAGCATCTCTGTTTGCCAAGGAACTGTCACTGCCATTGTCACTGACTGGTCAGTGCTGCATAGCTCAACAGCAACCAGCTTCTGTATCCCCACTAGGAATGTTACTCCCAACTCAACCTCCTGTCTCTTAGCAATTTTAACTAACAGTGTACATTACCTGAATTGTGTCCTATGGATTTAATTGCACCATTGCTCTTCTCCCCCTTTATTGTAGTGAAAATTTTCTTTTTAGGCTGTTTGAAATAACAGTCCAAAAAGCAATGAAAAATAACTTTGTCTTATTCAACAAGCGAGCTATGGTAGAGTGATTTTACTTCTGTGGTAGTTCATATGTCATGACTAATGATATTACTACTAATGAAGATTATGGGTCCCTGGCAACATGATCTACCCTCAAAGTTGGCCCTACTTTTAACAAAGGCTTGAACCTCCAACCGTCCCTTCTAACACAAACTATCCCACAGTTCACAGTGTGAGTTAAGAGTACTGCAGAAGTGTATCTCACCTTTAAGCTAGTTCTACTTTTGTAAATCTGACAAAAGTCTTTTTTTTTTTCCCCCTTTCAGTCAGCATACAAGCATTCCATTTATTCAAGCATAAATGGAAACATCCATGGACTCTTTCAGGTCCCCAGAATTCTACGTTTTACATATACAAAATAGAGGCACCTTTTTGAAAATTCAGAGGGTCTCTCTTTTCCCTTTATTTTCAATGTTTCAAGCAGAAGAGACTTTCAAATTACTTCTATGATTTATAGGGCATTAAAAAAAAAAAAGTATTCACTTTCCACATTGTTATTTAAGTATGAACTTAAATCTGCAAAAATGAAGAGCTGATTATGGGTTTTCTAGCTTTCCTGATGAACCTCCTAGCGTTAACAGTTTTTCTGCTCAATTGCTGAAAAAAATACTGATGAAAAGGATACAATGTTAGTATACATTATCAACAGCTTTCTCAGTTAATCCTACAATGATTTTTTTTTTTTTTTTTTTCCAAACTGGAGAGATGCTGAAAATGCATTTCGGTAAGCTGTAATTCTGCTTTGAAGACAGCAAAAGCATAATCCACTTTTTTAATTAAATCACTAAGCCAACTACTCTACAATTACAGAGTTAAAGCAACTTTTAAGGTGGCCATTTCAGGAAAAAATACCTAGTACTAGTCTGTTAGCAAGTCATATCCTAGGCAATGCAAAGACTACATTCTTCTTCAATCATTTTTTCATCTATGCGTTCATTTCATGTGTAAAATTCTCAGATGTTAATCTTCTTTCACGGAAATAAATACAGAAAACAACAGAAATATTGTTTGAGGAAACATGGAATTAAAGTCAGAACAATAATTAATCATACAGAAATTTTTAATGTTTATGAGTAAATCATCACAGTAATGAGAATTTTTACTGTAATGATATGCAGCTCTACCACACTATATTATAAATAAAAACATTAAGATCAATATTCAATACAGCTCTAGGCAACATCACAGATTAACAAATTTATGCATTCTTCATGAACCAGTAACTGAACAGTTTAAAAAAAAAATGCTGACACTTTCCCCCTCCCATCCACCACATTTTTTTCAAATTAGTAACTTGAGTAAGGCGCTGGAAGTTTTACATTAGAAAAGAAAACTTTTGTTGAACAGCACAGGCACCTGTACTTCAATAATAGAATTTTTAATGCATGTATACCAGAAGATGTTTTAAACGTCAATAGGGAAACCTTAGCAGCCAAGAACAGTCAACAAGAGATGTACAATATATATGCAGCACTGAGGTTCTACACTGAAGTTAGAAAACACAGCAGGGGCATGAATCGTATTTCAATTCAGACAGAGCAGTCTGTAGCATTAGGTGTGAATTCATACAATACACAGAGTAGTGTTTTATCATGAGAACAGCAGAACTGGCAGAGGTATCAAACTGATTTAAAGCAATCTGTATACCTGTAATGCATTCCTCTATAGAAACAAGTTTCAGACAATGGAAATCAGCATTACAGACAACTGCTAGAGCTGCCTTCTGTAAGTGGGCCAAATCCTGCTCTTTGTAAAGTTTCTTCAAACTTACACAGTGTAACAGAACAAATTTTGAACCACTAGCCCTGGCCTCACTTGGAACAATAAAGCCAGCTTTTGCAAAACTGCAGTTTTAATGCCTGTTTTAGTTCCAAATCAGTTTTTAAAATGAGGCTGACCACAACAGGCCCAGCGGACACTACTGGGAAATACTATGCTTTCTACTGTTTTAAGTTGCTGCAAGAGATGAAAATGAGTAGATGGCAGTTTTATACTTCAAGAAGAGGTTAAAAATAGCAGAGCCCAGGCGTTATTTTGGAGCTTGCCAGTAGTCCCAGTAATTTGTGCATGTTAATCATACTTAAAGATAGAACCTTGCTGAGTACTTTGCTGATTAAAGACCTTGGAGATAACCGTGATGAATACCTTAGAGATACCTGTAATTGTATATGATAGTTGACCATTTATATTTTTGCAGTCTTGTGGGCATAACTGTTAACAAAAGGACGTTTTATCTAAACCCAAATTATGGAACGCGATTTTGTCAGCTGTATTTCTTAATTTTTTCCCCATCTTTATGTTATGGCCTATCACCTTTTTCTCTGTATGTGTGTGTGTGGTGGTGGTGTGTTTTCCTTTTCTACAGTGAATACGAAACAAATTAATCTTGTGATTGAAAGAAAAAAGTAGAGATCTTAGGGATCTGTCAGTCAACTTACTGAGGCATGTGTTGTTGATTTTAAACTCCAGCCAAGGTTTCAAGTCCTGGTTTCCATTCTGCCTTCCTGCCCAACTTCTGTGGCTACATACCATTTATACCTCTATATACTTTTGGGGGGGGGGGGGGGGGGGGGACACCAAAAACACCTATTATTTTTAAAACCCTGCAGTTTTTTAAAATATTATTTTTAGTATTACTGTTCCAGTTATCTGCTAATAAAGAAAAAAAAAAGTAAATCTCAAGGTAACGGCAGTGAGTTAGGTTTGAAAATGATCTTACATGCACGTTGGATCATAAAGAAACCATTTCTTTAAACCCTTCATTTAGTTGTAAACATTTGCCCAATCCTCTATTGCTTGCAGAGGATTATGAATTGTACTATAAAATCACATTAAAAAGGTAATTAGTTATGTGAGATATTAACTGATTTGTATTTAATATTTTTTTAATCCATAAAAATATAAATAAAGAATGGTAAAACTTCAAGAAAAATAATATACATTTAGTGCAAGTTACAAGTTACATTTCTTCCTACTGTGTCAGCAGTGGAACATCTTTTGTGGAGGAAAAAATAAAAATAAAAATGAATGATTTCATATTTTCTCCAGTGTTGTAGCATGCAATTTTTACCAGATACACATATACAGAATTGTTCCAGTTCTTAACTATTAGTGTAGCAGTATTTTCCCTTATACTGCACAACATGGTATATATCATAGTGTTTTCAATAATACAAAAATTGCATAAGACCAGGTCACATTATTGATATTTTCTGCAGCAAAAACAGTATTTTTCTCTGAAACTCCCGTTTCACCTGTTTTTTAATTTTTCTCATAGCACAGAACATGGGCTGAAGGATGTCTCACATAGTTCTTGCAAAGTATTACCTGTTCAATCTGTTTTTGTCGCAGTGGATCTGTACTGCCCCAAGCATTTCATGACGTACAGACTACACGTTTAATGGCACAAGGAAAACCTCCCTTCTTGTGATAAAATCTCAGTAACTCACAGTAAATCTCAATATGAGAAACTACTGCTTCAAAAGGGCACACCAATTTTAAAGAGGCTTTGTTACGGCTCAGGAGAGAGAGAAATAAAGCTCTTCTGGAATGCAGAAAGGTGACGTGTAATAATTATACATTTCATGAGTTAACACAACAGTTTTCTATGGTAAAAAGGGCAGGACCTTTCAGTCTCCATAGGATGGCTCAATTCAGAATGATCCCTTCAGAAACAGGGACTAGTAACACATCTCTCCAATGCTGAAGTACCAGGCTGGGGCTGGAGAATTGCGCCTCCTCACAGGGCTCCCCGCTGCACTATCATGGCAGACCTGACGTCTCGGAACGCATCCAGTGCAGGACAGCAGCTCTCCCTTCCCATGTTCCCATCAGCCTTCCTCCTCACCACATATTCCCCCAGACCGACTCCTGACTTCCAGCAGCACTGTTATGCAAAAACCCAGCTCTCATTTCTGATTTTGGAAGTATCCCCCAGACTAAAGTGTTGTGCTATTCAACAAATGAACCTCCTCTTCGGTTTCCTCTCTCTCCTCAGCTATAGGTTTCAGTTGAACATTATTGAGGCGGGGTCTTGGTTTGCCGTCTGGGCCATATGACGGAGGATATCTTTTTTTGTTATAATGCCAAGGAGGCGCCTGAAAAGGATAAGCAGAACACCAATATTAATTCAAACAGGAAAATAATAAAACAGAACAAATCTGTAGCCAAGTCCTTTTTGTTGACAGGAATAGAGCAAAAGTAAACAGCCTGATTTTCTTATTTAAAAAAAAAACAAAAACATTTTATTAATCAAAATATCGAGTCACCACCAGTTTGCTGAAAGACAGCAATGCTGAGACATCAGATAGGATCGTCTCTGACAGCTGTAGTCCATTTTAATGAAATACAAGTAATGCAAGTAGAGTCCATGACCATTTTTATTTAACTTTTTGTTTCTACAAAAATGAAATTTTGATTAGCGTATGCCAACAAAAAAGTAACGAAGAGGGACAAAGAAAAAAAGAGGTATGAAAAGCAAGTGATATTGATCCCATTTCATAAGGGAAGCCTGTTCCAGCGTAGCAGCCATCAGAAGTGACAAATCGCTTGATGGCCCAAAATCTTAATATCAAATCAAATCCCCGGCCCACCTTATTTAAATTGTAAGAATCTTTCCAGTCACACACCACTGGTTCAGATTGAGTATCTTCATAAGAGCACAATGTATTGACCATGAAATGTATCCAAAATAATCTACAGTTAACTAGTTTTTGGAGTTCACAGGTTTAGAAAATAAATTACAACAAAGTTTTCATTTTACAACTTAGATACTGTGCTCTTATGACGGGGACTTAATTGCTGTTAAAATTACAATTCTGTAATATCAAAGGGGGGGAAGCTGTCCAAAAGGATAATATCACGGGAGAAGCAAAGAGCAGAATGAATGTGCTGCTGCCCTTGTTATTCTGGTTAGTACATTTTGTTTTTGTCTTATTAAAGGAGGCATGAAATACTTGTGAAATATTAGCATAAAATGAGAACATAATTAGCATGTTTTGCACATAAGCAGCTAAACTTGGTGGGTAGGTTTAATAGAGATGCAGCTATTGCAGAGCAACCAACGTCCAAATTAAGACAAAGTCCATCTTTTAACTAAGGTTAGATCACAACATCTTGGTTAAAGCAACATCTAGATTCTGAAGGCAACAGTAAAAAACACCAGCATGCCATATAGTGGCTTAGGATATCACTACACGTTTTAGAAAGAGGTACATTAATTGCTGTAATTAACAGCAGCGTTGCAGGACACTACAGTGCAGAGCTAAAAATTATGACTACTTTTACAAAATTATGTAGATAATGGGGTAACAGGGAAAATCTAATATTGCAATACATTAAAAACATGTTTGGATTTGCTTGACAAAAGATGCGATACCTTGCATTGCTATTTAGCAGCTATTTAAAGCTGTCAAGATCCAAAAAAGAAGAAACTGACTTAAATGAAAAAAATCTTGATTTGTATGAGGGGGGAAAGTATTCCTAGTAGCTATGTGCTTTCCCATCTGGCATAATACCAATCAACTAGATAGACCTATGTGATCTCAAGAGCAAAACATTAGCAAGTTTTTGATCTCTCTCGTTTACTTTCTTTTCATGTTGTGACTAACAGGATGTCTGTATTAACAGCTTAAATTCTACAAACAGATTTTGCACATATTGTTTTGTATTATGGTTTCTTCAATACAAATTTTTAGTGTAAGATGATTTCATTGTTCAGCTGATGTCATAAGAGCACTGAACAGTTCACAAGTTTCATGCTTCCTGATGTCTAATGTGTCTAATTATGAGATCTGATATATCTAATCACCAAGGGTTCGACGTGCTGCTTTAGTTGCTCGAGATGCTCTAATATGTTCTTCTTTGTGATGATCCCCAAGACAATCCTGAAACACATCATGTTATGCTAATAACTGTGTGTGAAATCAAATTAAAAAAAGTTCCAATAATAATGAGAAAGGTTTAGAGTAGAGCAAAACTAAAAAACAAAACAAAACCAAAAAAAAGGGTTGCCAGAAAGCTAGTAATGAGATAGTTAAATGAAAAATGATTTGAAAATCAGTACCTTTCCCTGACATTGACTTTGTTTTTTAACATGGAACACAACTTTCAACAACCCCAGAGGAGTATGTTTCTCCTATGAAATACATGACGGGGAAGCACACTTCACTCCTTCTCCTCAGTCATGTCTCTTCAGCTTTTAAAACCACTGAAACTGAGATGTACTTAAATTTCTCCTCTCATATATACATCGCTGTCCAAAATTTAACCTTCCTTAGTAGATGACCAGAGTGGTAACTGCAGAAAATCACAGCAATTAAGGTTTGAAGCTGCGCTACAGAGCAAGGTTATTTGGTGTCCTTAGGGACAGACATGTTCAAACAGATTTTTCATTCGTGATAGCATAAATCAAGACGAACTCCTTGGAATTTATATTCTGGTATGGATTATAAAGAGTCAGGCTTGCTCTTTATGTATCCCTACGTTTGTCATCAGCATCAATTTTTGCAAGCTTCCAATTCCTAATTGGATGTCAATACTCATGCATATATAAATCAATATAAATGTATACACATCAGTATGTTTGAATGATGAACATGTATAATCGATTTGCAGGAAATTTGCCAAAATTTAGATTAGTCCTCGATATCCACATGGTGATATGCCACTATCTAACCTTGTTGTAACGGACAGCGAAAGCATGAAGAGCAAGTTGATAAGTGGAAGCAGGACAACAAATATGAATGTTAGAAAGCAGATTATTAAAGTCATCTATATTTGCTGCTACTTTATCATATAATAATAAAAAATTAAGAGTAGAGTTTGACATAATTTTGAATGGTTAAGGTTTCTTTGGAGTCAATGACGACATCATCAGTATCACTGTTTGACCACTCAACTACAACAGAAACTCAGAAAAAAAATGATCAGAATAAATATTCCTCACTGCAGCTTTATCATTTCCAGCCTCTCTGCCAAAATTGGGAATAATTGCATTCCTGCACTGACTTCTAAATGCCAGATCATGATGCTATTTCTCCAGGTTTTTAAAGACGCATTTATGCTTCTGAAAACCTCTAATTGCCATTCAATACATAGATGCACTGAAGAAAAAAACAGGAGCAAATTTAAATACATTTGATTTTAAAATACATCTGAATAAACAAACTTGCAAATCAGTGCGATATTTAAGTATTTACCACTTATAGCTGCCCACAGCAAAGCAAAACGTGTCCCACCCACATTTCAGGTTTTCAGTTTTTGTCCTGTGGACATTTATCCTAAATTATAAGAATCAGCAGAGAATAATTTATCTCTCAGGTGCCTTAAAACATATGCTACAGGAAAAGCAGGAGACTATGTTAGAATCTGCAGCGTTTACATGTCAAATATTTCACACGAGATATAGAAAAGCAGAATGCTAAGCAAAGCAACAGCTCTTCAGAGAACGTTCTTGTAAAAAAGGAGTAGTTTACCTCAGGTGACAGGCAATTGCTCAGGTGTGAGACCACTGCTCTGCTTCAACACCGAGGTCTGATTGATTTATCAGGTAATCACACGACAA